GCGACTACTGCCATCGTACGCCGCTCATGCGGCTTGGATTGGGGCTAAACGTGAGCGGCGTTTGGGACTCGCGGCGGTGGCGGTAGTCGCCGGAAAACCGCAAATTAAGTCGCCGGAAGTTCGCAATTGACACGTGACTGAGGCTCGAAAAGATTTTTCGCGGCCGCCATCTTTTTTTCCCGAAGTTCGGAGGATAGCCTAGGTTCTTTATGTTTCAGTATATGGCAGCGTATACTCCATTGTTTCTGTTAACAGCGGATACACCCACGTTCATATGTGTACATGTATAATGTATCCATGTTATAGATTATAGAGCGTTGACTATAGGTTTATTGAGTGAAACAAATTCACGTGAACTCCTAATATTTGTAGACAGTGGTATCAATTAACGGTTACTGTTTCAGGCAAATACACACGAGTTTCTGTTTTCTCTTCTTTTTGTTTGCACTTGCCATTTTAAGACTGTTTGGACCTTGGATTGTGGTTTACAGCTAGGCTGCAAAAACTGCGCGTTTCTGCCCAAAACGTATGATTGCAGGAAACCTTTAATTAGTCGCGCCTCTTGTATGACCTGCTCGATGAGATGTTTTGGGTCCTACCCACTGACCCCGTGCCTGGAGCCTAGGATCTAGTCTACCTAGAAGCCAAGATCGATTACAAAAAGTCCACCTAATTGTGGATTCAAACCTCGTACATTTGGGGTCAACAGCCAGCTACTATGCTGCCGTGGTTTTCATAATTTATTATATCCCTCGATAACGAATCTTATTGATATTGTTGGTGCATACGTAAGTTTGTTTTTCAACTATTTTTTCTTTCTCTCACCTCCCATGTCAATTCGTAAAAAAACGTAATTGTGTTTTCCTCACATACACGCAATTATTTACACAAACCTAAGTTGTCTTCCTTCTTCGTATGCATTTACCTTTAGAAGAGCAGTGTTGTAGTTTCCCGCTAGACTACGATATTTTAGACTTGTCGTCCCAAAAATCCTGTCTCTACTTCGTTTCTTTTCTTTTTTCGCGTCTGTTCTTTTTCCGCGTCTGTTCTTTTTCACGTTTTCGGTGCAAACTTCAGCTTAATGTTCTGCACTGTAGTCTTGTTCCAGAAATTGAGTTTTGCTTGTGCATCCCTTTTACATGTCTGGTTATTTTTTGCACGCAGACTGTTGGTTCCTTGGCTGTGGAGCATGTGCACTCCGAATTGGAAGGAAACATTTCTAATTAGTCGCCTTTTATGACATGCTTGTTGGGGAAAGTAGTAGTGAATCTGTTCTATGTTTCACCTTTACGACACGCTTAAGGGACAGTGAATAAATTCTTATTCCCCCCCCCCCCCCCCAAAAAAAAAACCCTGGAACCCAGATGGGGGAGGGCGGGTCCTTATTTTTAAGGGTTCGCTGGGTTTCCACTTCTAGTTTTTTTTTTCTGTTGCCCAGAAAAGAGTAACCTTTTAGCCATTAATGTGTGCAAAACGAAGAATTCAAACAACACAACACGTCGCTGGTTTTGCTAGTGCCGTTTTGTTTGTTCTGGTTTTAGCGAGCTGGACTGGAAAACATACAAGTGTCAACATTTCTATGCTAGCTGTAATGTGGTTGACAGGCATAGCGGGATTAGTTATGTAACTGTCACATTTGTCATTGGCAGTTGTCATTATTAGGATTATTACAGGCGGGGTCATGTCAGAGCACTCGCAGCAGAAGAGAAACACCGTCAGCATGGGAATGGGGAGAAATTGGATGTTGCCTTGAGTAGATTTTGTGGATTACATAATGTAGAATATAGAACGTGGTGACGTGGGCTTTTTTCACAGAATTGATGCAGCAGACATACAACTATGAGAAGTTTGTTGGTCGTGTGATGAGAAAAGGAGCACTGGAACATATCGTGATGACTGGAAAGATCAGTTGGTAGGAGACGCAGAGGCAGACCAGTCGAAATGATGGTGGGTGGCTTAAGACAGTGGCATGGAGGAATATCATCAGTGGAATTGATCAATACCAAAGACTAATATATGTGGGAAGCATGCACGCCTACGCCAGCTGGCAAGGCACGTGATAATGATAAACATTTGCATAGACCAGTGGGAACTAAATATTCACACTGGCCACTTTTACTTATGTGTTTGTTTAGTGTTGTAACTTGTGGGAGGGGGAGAGGGGAGGTGTCTGCCTTTGTTTCTTTGACCCCATTAGTTCCAGTGCAAGGAGTTTCTAGTTCTATTGTTTTCAGATTTTCTCTGTGTGTGCCCTATCCAATGCGAGTGTCTTTTGCTTACCTATTGATTCATTGCAATTTGTTTAGTTCTCTCTCCCAAAGCTCTACATTTGTTAGTCTGTCATAACATTTTATTCTCTCTAGTCTGCACAGCCGGCAGTTAATTTTTGCGTTTATTATTTGTTTGAGTGGCCATCTATGACCATCTGTTAATTAAACACCAGATCTCTAAGTCGTAGATTATTTGTATTTTGTACTCAGTTACTTGTGTTAGTCATGTCTCTTTTAAGGCCAGCAGTCTATTTCTTGCACAGCTCTGGAGCATAGAAGTTAGTGAATGCACCTCACAATCTCACAGTCTTGAGTGTACCAGGGTTTTTTAAATTCTGCAAACCGTTTTTTTTTTAAACATGTGTTTAGGTTGTACAAGAGATGGACAGTGAAAGAGATTGGGACCTCAGCACATTAAAAAAAAAACCTAAGACAGTAGAGGGTGGTACTGCAGCTAATCTTCATTGTGGAGACAGCACACAGTTTATTTAGTCTCTTTATTGATTAAGCTTTTCTGTATATTTTGCCTCCATTGGGAGTATTGCACAGTGCATTGAAGGTGATGGCATCTGTGGACATCAGGGAACGGTCTATTCACTCTACCATCAACTAAGTATTTTGGTTATGGTTATAGACATTTATCAGAATGCTACCAGTATCATGGTAATAGGAACTCAATGCTGGCTGCTGAAGACAAAGCTGATGCTGTGATGTCGGTTCTTAGCTTAACTTGACTCAACTGAACTGGTGTAAACATGCTGTTTAAAATAACACAGTTTTCTAATTGAAGTAATTCATGCCCAGGACTGTCAGTTCTGAAGACAACACATGCACCCTAGTACAACTACAATCTCCACACTCAAATTGATCACTTCCTCAAGTGTTGATGCAGTTAAAATGACTTAAATTCTTATGTTCCTTAAAAAATTGTACCCCAGTGTTTCATCATAACTCTGTGCAAATGGTAGACAGAACCCTGTTTGCATTTCAGTCTTTTAGGCTTGTTGAACTGAGAGAGCTGCCAACATTTCTTTATACTCCTACTACTTAAGCAGTTTGTTTTAAGATAAGTGTCTAGTGTGTGATCACAAGCTTCAGTGAGGCAGAAAAGTCAATATTTTCTCAAGGGAACTTTGGTCCAGAAGTTTCCTTCAGTGGTAGGGTCCCATATTCTGATAGTTCAACTCTGTGGTTGTTCTAGCCTCATAATGTCAGCTGCTGATCATTTTCATTATTTTCCTTCAAACAGAAAAATTAACTGTTTTATTCTAACTCTACACCATTGGTAGACATTTCCCTGATTGCATTTCAAACTTGAAGATGCCTTAGAACTTTGAAACCTGCCAGTATTTCTGTTCCCACTCGTGCAGTTTGTTTTAAGCTGAGTATACAATGGGCTGCTGTCTGCTGGCAGCTTGTCTCTCTTCAGAGAAAGAGAGAGAGAGAGACCCAGCCATGTGTGATAAAACCCAGTGCAAGGAAGTCAGTTCTCTGTACTTTAACAAGCTTCAGTGAAGTAGAAAAGTCAATATTTTCCTAAACAAACTTTGGTCCAGAAGTTTCCATCATGGCAGTGTTCTATTTTCTGAAAAGTAAGTGGTGTGGTTGTTATAGCCTCATAAAATCAAAGGCTGAGGATTTTCAGTATTTTCTAGGAAAGATAAAAGCAAACTTAGACCTAGTAGTAATTAAAGGAGAATTTGCAGCATTATTTGAAAAATTTAATTCAGAATAGTTAGATAGATATTTACATTAACTATAGACTTTCAAAATAAATGTTAGACTGTTTTTAACTTAAACCCACTCTTTTCTAGTAACTTATTTCACACCAACCTTACGCTGAAAAATAAAGGCTGCTTTTCCGCCCAGTGTTAGGCTATGGTTTTTATTTTATCTGTGATCAAATACTATAGTATGCACACAGGAATCTCAACTGCCTTTCAGTTAAGGAGAATTTGTATAATATTCAGGAGACAAAAATGATGAAACACAGAACCAGTCGTCCACTTCATTATGCATGGCCTAGTATATGTGAAGGCTCCACAGGTCTCTCCCATTATCTGGCATGTAAACACTTCTTGTGTTCCATTTGTCAGCTTAAACTCACTCTTTTAAATAATTTAATTCACACTAGTGTCAGACTGAGGTAAAAGGGCTGCTTTTCCACCCAGTGTATAGTCAGTTTTATTTCATGAACTATGTTTTTAAAAAGAGTAAGAACTTGAGTCCTACAGTGTGTATACATGACTCCTTGCCACATGCTTTTTAATTTCAAATAATATTTAGAATATTCAGGAAAGAAGTTGAAGAAAACCGGTCTCTGCACTCTATTATGCATTGCCTCATATGTATGTGTGTGTGTGTGTGTATATATATGAGGGTCTAACATATCTCTGATTATCTACCTTGAGATTACCTCAACCTGTAAAAACAATTATGCTCATTAAAGTGAATACATTAGCCCAATTATTAGAGAATACTCTCTCATTAAATGTGGTTTCCAGCTAGCGATTGGAAAATTATATTGGCAAAATTTCATTGACTGTTTCGCATTATTCAGCATTGTTGCTGTATATACAAAAGTTTCATTTTTCTTTTTTTTTTCACAGACTGAGTTTGGAGACAGACATTTTTGAGAGATCATCAGGTTATTCCTGATCCAGCAAAAGCTGTTTTTAAAAAAAGACATCAGTATTTTTTTTGCTCTGGGCACAAGGAAACAGTATCGTCATGAGTTTGTCCACTATTCAGACAAAAACAGTTGGTGTAAAGAAACAGGTTACCAGCTGCATGGGGACAGTTGATAACATCAGAGATTTGGATCTGTCTAAATCTTTCATTACTGGTCAAGTGTGCCATTCCTGTGATGTCCTATGTAAGTTTCATTCACTCTTTATATGTGTTTTTTATATATGTTTTTTATCTTGTGTGTAGATGTTTAGTTGAGAGTTGTATAGCAAACATAATGCTGTATTCTAGTTGTGAGCTGTATAGCAAACGTAATGCTGTATTCTAGTTGTGATTTGTACAGCAAATGTAATATTGTATTCTAGTTGTGCTTTGTTTAGCAAACGTAATGCTGTATTCTAGTTGTGAGTTGTATAGCAAACCTAATGCTGTATTCTAGTTGTGAGCTGTATAGCAAACATAATGCTGTATTCTGCATTAGACAGTTTTATTTGTCTTTTTAGACTGTGTAACTATGTTAACTGTTTTACAACTTACACTTTTTTAAAATTCAGCTAAACATGCCCGGCTCACTAGCGTAGCTGGTTAATCCTGACTTCGCGGCGACCAGGCGACGAACTCCTTGTGGTCCGGGTTCACACCCGGGGTAGGCAGAAAAGCCACATTTCTCCAGATTTATGGTATCTGTCATGGAATCAAGGCCGAAGGGTTGTGATATCCAAAGGTTTAACAACTCATGGTTTCTGGATACTTGAAAAAAAAAAAAACTAAACATAAATCAGTTGGTCAAGTATAGGCATGATTAATATATGCTGTGGCAGTACACTCTAAAACAATCTAAGGTTTCATTTACCTTGCTTTAGGTTCAGTTGTACTTAGAGACATACTCAGGAGGAGATCGGAGCACTTAAAGTCATGTCTGGTGTGCGATGAAGATGAAAAATTAAGTGAACAATAAAATGTTTAGTTTTGACAGTCTATGGGTTTTTGGCTTGAGATTAAAACAGTTTAGAAGTGACATGTTCCAGCTGTGCAGTTTCTGAAAAAAAAAGAAAAAAAAAGGAAAAGAAACATATAAACATTACTTGAACTTCATTTATCTATCAATCTTTGAAAGGTAACTATTATTTGGGAGGAGGAAGCATGTCCTGCCGTGACAGCCGGACTGGAGAAACATTCCTTCATGTGCTCACTGACTATGTCCATTTGTACCTGTCCGCAAATTGCACACGAATAGTGTACATGTTGTCCACAAAGATAGACCTGGATGTACCAGATCACAATGGTGATACAGTTCTTCACAAAACAGTTCGTGTCACTGGTGCCTGGCGGTTTATTGTTGCCTTAATGAGGTCAGTGCTATGTTTAGAAAATTTGTTGTTGCATTTTAAATCAAAGATGCAAACAGTGGAGAATGAAGAGTGAGCCGTAACAGCAAAATTCATAATCTGTTTATGTAAATAGCGGAGAAGGGAGAATGAGAAGCAACAGCAAAGTTCCTAATCTGTTTTTGCAAATAGCAGAGAAGGGAGAGTGAGAAGCAACAGCAAAATTCTTAATCACTTTAAACCACCATTAATCACTGGCATCGGGAGGGTTTATAGATTACAGTGGTTATGGGTTCTAGAGTGAATGGCAAAAAAAAACAGACAAAAACTGCATTCACAAAAGAGTTGAATAAGAGTAGAGCATGAGGCAGATCAAAAAGACAATGAGAGATAAGACATAGGTGGACCTACAGACACTTTGAGTGACCATCTGGAGAGGCAAGGCCGGTTACATAAATAAATGGAGGCAGATGTCTGCAGTAATGAACCTCAAGAGTTCAGAATTCTGAAGAAGTAGCAGTTTATAAATGAATGGTAGATCTGTGATTGAAGTGTCGACCTTAATTGTTGTTGGCTGCTAATGTGCCTTACATGTGCATCCTCATCTGATCACAAAACTGGCTGATACTATCACTGAATGATACATTTTAGACTATTCTCTATAATTTTATCATCACCTTTGTCATTTTGTACCATTATATGTCACGTAGGGCCCGCAGTATATTCGTCCATTCAATTTTATCATATGCTTTCAGTTCAGTATTTTGGATGAATCTAGCGCAGCACCTTTGGCCTTCTCAGTTGTTTTAGGGTTTCTTTACCTCAATCCCTTTATTTCCAATTTAATTCCTGTTTGGTGATTCTCTGCTCATTTCTTCTCAGGATCTGTCCAGTATAGCACTATCTTCTTTGTCTTGTTTTTTTTTTTGCCAGTGTTTGCCTATACATTTTTGAATCCATTCCATTTTATGTTCAACACTATCCTCAGGCATCTCTGTCATATCCTGCCTCAAATCATGAGTTTGTAACATATTGACTATCCCAGATGTTATTCTAGTGTTTTTCCTTCTATTGTAAAATTTGTAAAATGTTTCTCCATTTAGGTGCGGTGCTAACCCACTGATAAAAAATAAAGCAGGCCGAACTCCTGAAGAAGAGATTCTACATCTTAAAAACCCTGGCTGGGAAGAGAACCTTCATTGGCTAAGGAAGTATCATCCTGGTAAGTTATTAAATTAATTTTTTTTTTTTTAAAGCAAAGAATCCTTTTCACTCTAATAGTGCTTCATTCATATGAGGCTATATTTTAATAGACCAGTCATCCCCATGGGAGTTTCATCCCCATGGGAGTTCTGGGGCCCCTTTGGGGGGGGGGGTTAGAATAGGCCCCCTGCCCCCTAACATGCCTGTTATAAATGGCAACTAATTACAGGCATTGTATCAAAGTGCATTTGCATGACAGGCGAGGAACCAACAATCTGCATACAAATAAGCCAGATTTCCAAAACAGATGTCCATGCAGACACTCAAGTTTTGGAACAAGATCAAAGTCCAGAAGTGGATGAACAACCAGAATTTTAAGCTGGAGTTTACAGCTGGTGAGGAAAAGGAGCTAGACCAATCAACATTCAGTTGGTGATGTGGCCAACATTATGACAGCCATCTTTATTTCTCATGATTTGAGCTGGTACACATTTTAGTCTCTGCCAGCTTGGTATAGGACCCCATTTCACACCTTGAAGCCTTTTGGATATATGGTGCTGCACCCAAGTTTTTAGACTAGCCAGAACTCAGTTGGGGTATTTCATCAACATTATACCAGTTGTCTTTACTGACATAAAGTTTCTTGGTACTAAATAGTAAAATGCATTCCATAATTGCAGCTGTATTTGAACCGAGAGCTTTACTTGTTACCGACACATCAATACTTTAGAGCTTAAGGACAGAACACAGAACTCCTCCAAAACTGGTTATCATGTGAGATGGTATACCCGTACTGCGTATACTTGAATAAAAGAATCAAGAATTGATACCACTGTGCTCTGCACATTTCCATTCATGCTCAGTAACCAATGAGGAGTTCTTATACTGATGGATGGTGCCAGTTGCTTAGCTGTTCCTGATTTTTCATTTACCGCAGAAAAGGGTTTCACACTCAGTGCCCACACTCCATTGCCGTTATAATTCTTGACAATTTTAGTTGATTAAACTTAAACCAGCGTAAAACATTTTAATAATGCCAAAAAAGTTTTTTTTTTTTTTTAATTGTTCTTCTTACCTTCTCCCACCTTTGGAGCAAAAAATACACATATTTAATGGTCGCCATTTATTTTTGATGGCCACAGTAGCATAGCGGCTACACATGCCAACCTGAAGTTCTAGTGTTCAAATCCACATGGGGCAGATTTTTCCAAATTAACCTTGGTTGCCAGGTTGACATAGCCTAAAATGAATACTAGGTAGTGTCCTGAGAAGTAAAACAAAAAAGCAGGGCATGGTCTATTGAAATATAGGTCTGGCATTATTAGCCTGATGTGCTAAAGGCATGGAAAGGATGATTTACTTACACTTACTAATTCTCTTTTGTCTTTGCTTCTAAGTTTCTCCTGTTTCTTTTGCCCAGGGTTCTAGAGATAGTTATTGTTGGCTCATTATTCATCATCATCATCAGGTGCCTTGTGTGGGCGATCATGCCTCTCCACAATCTGCGATCATGCCTCTCCAGAATCTGCGATCTCCTGCAGCATGTTTCAGTTTGTGTGCTGACACACCTCCATGTCATACAAGATTGTCAAGAATCTTCCCTTGTTGTCTTTCTCTACCCCTTCTTCCACAGATCTTTCCAGTGGTCACAACATGTTCCATTTTCCCTCTTCTTATATGGCTGAAAAATTAGACTGTCTCCTGTCTGTGATAAGTTTTCGTGCTCCCGTCTCTTTCAAAACCTCTTGGTTGCTATTTTTGGCTGTCCAAGGTATTCACAGAATATAAATTGTTATAGCATTAAAGAGAAAGGTGCAGCTGAGAGTGACCAGGGAATCTGGCCAACACGCAACACTCAGAAATAAAAAGGCAAAATGGACATAAACATAAAGTCAGACTGTTGCTGGTACCATTACAATCACAACTCTGCACTGGCTGCCAAAAATGAGACAAAGAGCTGTGTTGTTGGCTGTTAACTCTTTGGGTAGCAAGTAGCTACCATATGTGAATTAAAAACTAAATGAACTGTCCTCTGGTATCGAAAGAGTTATACTCATCTCAGCCGTTTGTAATAGCAGATTGAAGAAGTAGAAACCTCCATTCACAGGTTTGTGGGCAGCAGTGAAGGCCAAGAATCCAGACCCAGTTCTCATAGAAAGGTTACTACGATATTGGTGCCGAACAGTCAAGATTGTGGGGAATCAAACAGAGAATCTAAAAGTAAGATCAGTGATAACTTCTTAACAGCAATCATTAACTTCTTCTGCATTTGCCCTGAAAACGGTGTTTGGCATGTTGGTTTGTGGTTTACAGTTAGGCTGCAATATTTTATGTTTTTGGGCCCATTATGCAGTTTCCACAAACTCATTATTAATCACCTTTTACGACATGCTTGTTGGGGGCAGTAAGTCAGTTATTCTTTCCCCCAAACTGGGGCCCTGGAACTCACATGGGGTATAATGAACTTATTTTGGTAACATTGGCCCTTGTGTTTAGGGGTTGCTTAGAACAGAATATTAATTTCTTAACTATCCTGCCCACTAGTTTTTATTAGCATACTTTATCATAATTGCTCTTTAACAATTCTTTTTCTTTGTGTAAAAATTTTTTTTTATGTGCCAGCTCTACACCCTATGCTATCTTTGATGAGGCTTCTGTCTCTTCCACTGTGCGACTCACACTACTGCCCAAATCAACGAAGACAGTTTTTTTTAAAGAATTAACCATCCACAGCAGAAATCAAACATTGGTATTCCCTGTAATGGTTAGGGGTCCCTTTTGGGTGGGGGGGGGGGGGGGAAATAGACCCGCTGCCATCCTAATTTGGAGGGGGGGGGGAGAATAGACTTGCTGCCACCCTAACAAGCATGTTGTACAAGGCTACTTAAGAAGGATGTTTCCTTCAGAGTGCATCTACCTGAGCGGCAAGGAAACAGCAGTCTACATATACATAAGCCAGATCTGTAAAACAGATGTGCACACAAAACTGAAGTTCTGGAACAGGACCAAAGTCCAGAAGTGGATTAAAAAGCACAACTTTCCACCAGAGTTTGCAGCTGGTGAAAATGTGAAGAAAAACACTAGTACTTGAGGATCATGTAATTGTTAATGCATTCACTAACTTCTAAGTCACAGAGCCGCATGTATTATACACTGTAGACTCCAGTGTTTTGAGTTTTAAAAATGATCTATGGCTTAGAAAAAAGTCGGTTTAAACTTACAATTGTATGAGACTGAAGAGTGAAAATTAACAATTAGCAATTAACATTGCTGGTGTGCCAGGTTTTAAAAGATTGAACAGTAATGGTATTTTTAGCTGGTGTCACTCTTTAGCTAGATTTGGTGTGTATTTTAGAAAAATATGAAAATACAAATGAAATGGCCCTGGCAATGCTCAGTGGCAAGTCAAAGTTCATCAACATGTGGAAAAATGCAGGTAATTTTTGTTTCACTGCAGACTGAAATTTAACTCATAATGTATTTTTTTTTAACTGGTACTAGAGGAAAGAAAAACTGCCTGATGCAACAGTAGTAATATATATTTTGTTTGTACTGAAAATGCATCTACACATTTATTTTCTTCTTGAGTTGAGTTTAGAACAGACATCACAGCACTCCTGCAAATACCCATTAGACCTCCTCCTGCATCTTCAGCAGCTAGGAAATTGTTTTCAGTGGAACTAGTAGCAGTCTGATTAACATCTGTACATTAGTCTGTTTCATTGATTTTAATGTATCTGTTCCCTGTGAGGGTTTTGGGGCCCCCTTGTGGGGAAACCAAGAATAGACCTACTGCCTTCTAAACATGCAGCATGTTGTAAGAGTTGACTAATTGGTGTTTTCCTTTGAAGTTTGAGTGCATCTGCCTGAGAGGCAAGGAGCCAACAGTCTGCATACAGATAAGTCAGATCTGTAAAATGGATGTGCATGCAACACTTAGGTTTTGGAACAAGTCTAAAATCCAAAAGTGGATGAACAACCAGAACTTTCTGCCAGAGTTTACAGCTGGTGAACGTGAAGAAGATCTATCAGTAATTTTTTTTTATTGCCGTATGGGGAAAACATTTGGTCTCTGCAATACTGCCCAGTCTTTGTGTTTTGGAATAATTCCATGCATTAATTGTATAATACCTTTCTTTAGTAATTAGATCCTGTTAGTTGCAATAATCACTGCCATGAGCTATCATTTCGACTCCATGCCTCCTTATAACACAGTATAACAATCATCTGGAAAGACGTAAATGTGCCATCATAACAGCACTGTATACATTATGCAGTCATTATAGACAAAATCATGATTATAATTATAAAAGTTGATGGTACATGCAGTCACATTACTCCAGGCTTAGTCTCCAGCATAGATAGGATACTTTGGTTTGGACCAGTACATCTTTGGGGTTAATCCAGGCTTCACACCATGGTTACAAGACAATTTTCAGAATTCTCTGGGAAGGAGGCACAAGGAAGAAAACTCACTATCCCACCTCAAATCTTGTGGCCCAGAATATGTGAAGGACTATGCCCAGACAGTATTATCCCCTATAGGACTACCATTAACACTTTTGTGTGTCTTTTTGGGAGTATGTATGTGTATTGAGGTGCAGCTGGTCGAGCGGTTACAGCGTTGGGCTCTCACTTGGGATACCAGAGTTAGACCCCCGGTAAGGTGGTGGGGTTTTTCTGCCAGGGCAAGAAACATCCTAACCTGTACAGTCTGTGGCGACAGCACTAGCCAGGTGGTCCTCAGTCCTCATGATCAAGGCTCCCTGTCTACATCGCCATAAAAATTGGTAAAACAGACAGTAGTGACAGTTTGACATTGACAGTATTGTGTATTATGTGAAAGTATGTTTGTAATAGGTTGCTATTTGTGTGTTTTATATGTTAAAGTAGTTTGTTGCTGAGTTAAAAAAACTATCAAGACATCCCATAAGTGCTTCATCACAACTCCCCATTTACGGCAGCCACTGCAGAGTTCCAGTTCCAGTAATTCTAGTAGCAGTCTGTTTTCATGTCTGTCTTTCCTGTCCCCTGAGTCTTGGGTGTTGGCCATTTCCTGTGGTTGCTCTATGCTGTGCGATTCTCTCCAGACTTTGATGATCTGTTTGTACTCCCATGCTGTTCACTTACCTCCAGAGAGACGTGATAACAAGTGTGTTCTATAATGACTCATGGCAGCCATTGACAATTTACTACTTTAAAGAATATTTGTTGGTACGCGTTACGCATTCTTTAAGGAGGCATTCGTTGTGCATGAAATGAACATAGTTTTTCTGTAACCTTCTTGTTTTATATTCATGTAACCCTATTTGATGGTGTGATTTTTATGGCTGTTTTATTTGTTTGAAGATATTCAGTTCTGAAGGTTATAAATTATTTACATGATAACTTGAAATTGCAGAAAATCTCCAGAAAATTGATGTCAACACAAAAGACCACTCATATCAGTTCTACTATAGAGACCCAGGTGTAAGCTGCAGGCCTGTAGGAGTAAGGATGAAAAACCTGAAGCTGACCAAATCATGTTTAACTCTTTCACCCTGAGAAGCCACAAAGCCTGCTCTTTCTGTTGGTACCATTTCCCTGTCAAAGCCTTTTAAAATAAGAGACAAATGCTCCATAAGAAATTGGAATGGTTGAGGCCTTAAAATGTTTTTTTAACCAGTTGATGAATTACTTGGGGTGCCGGGTTCGATCCCAGCTGCGGACAATTTGTCTTGCAATGGTTTCAATATTGATATTGATAGCTGACTTCAGAAAACAGTGGCAAACTTCTGAATGTAAAATATGCCTAGAAAAACAAAGGCGGAAAAGGCTGAGGTTGGTTCTGCAATGTCCTGTAAATTATACACAACTAGCTAGATGAATAGAGAAATTTGTTCCAAGTTGATCAAAAGGTTTTTATAAATGCCTAAGCAAAGTGATGAACATTAAATGGGATGAATTAAGATAGATGAGGAAGTAAGAAAAATTTGTGGACAGTCACTAGAGTAATAAGAAAAAATAAGATGGCAGTATATTGGGCACATCATCAGGAGCAGTGGATAGAGAATCACTGAACAGGTATACCAATTTATTGAGGAAACAAGAACATTCTAAAGATTAGTGTTGTTAAAAGAGGCCAAAGGTTCTGGATGGAATTCCATCCGTGATATCAAAAGGATTGCAATGATAGACTGGAATGGACGACTAGACTCTTAAGGCCTGTTTGCTGTATACTGGAATGACATGATGATAAGGTTTTAGTTGTCATTTTATTTCAGCATGCTTTTTTTCCCCACAGTTAGTCAATCCAAAGTCAAGACCTCACAATGAAGCTATAACAAAACACATACTGCGGTACTGTGACTTAAACATTCGCAATGTACAAGGGCAGACGTTGCTTGTGGAAGCTATGTATAATGGAGAAACAGAAGGGGTCATTAGAGTCATCCTCAACGCGGGAATTAATATAGGTGCTAGAGATGCTATGGGACGGACAGCCAGAGACCACTGTGATATTCTGAAACGGGAAGACTACAAGTATGTTGTCTGAATGTTGGACAGTTTTCATACATTTGTGCCCCCCCCCCCCCCTTTTTTTTTTATAGTTATTATTAGTTAAGTGTCGGCTCTGTGGCTAAGTCAATGTGAACGCTTCGTAATGCCAGGTTCGATCCCAGCTGCGGGCCATGCGCCTTGCGTTGGTTTCGACGATGGTATCAAAAAAACCAACCATCCAGAAAGCAGTTTACAAACTACTGGACATAAATTTGCCTGGGGTTGGTTCTGCAACGTCCTGTAAAGGATACCCAACTAACCTTTTATTAGTTAAGTGAAAGACCCTTTTCAAACCATTGAAATGTCAAGATGGAGCAAGTAGCTGGGTTAGTGTTTTTTGGATCATTGTATTCTCTTGTAATGGACTGCTGTAGTATGCTATTTTATGTGTTTGCAATGCAGGAAACATTGTGTTTTTCCTGGGAAAATGAAAGCAAGTTTAGATGATTTGGCACTGGCATGTCTTGAACCTAGCAGCTTTGTCCATGGTGGATTGGGGGGGATGTCGGGGGAGGAGGAGAATTAGAAGACGGTATTAAACAGACCTACCCATGAAAACAACACTGCAGAAACTTATACCCTGTACTTTGGGAGCCCAAGTCATTAACACAATGCAGATAATGACATCGGTCAGTGGACTTACAGCTAGCGATGAGTCCAATGACTTTCTTAAACAATCAGCTGCTCTTTGTATGATCCAGCAAAGCTATCCCACACAGTTGTGGATACATGAATCAGCAACCAGTGTGGTTAAAAAAAAATGGGGGTACTGGCATCTTTATCACACATCCAGACAGCCACTGCCATACACACAAAAATTTCCACTGGTAATTGCTGTTCCAGCTGTACAGCAGAGATCATAGAACTAGAGCAGGCTGCCAAAATGTTACACAACGCCAGTTCTGACTGCCACCAGGTGGTCATCCTCACAGATGAGTCATCGGTGCTCCAAACCCTCAAGAGTGGTAAATTTCCTCACCTGAGATCTGAACTTAGCAAGATGGCTACGTAAACGCATACTGTACTTCAGTGGGTGTCATCCCGCAGAGGTATACCAGGAAACAAAAAAAAGCAGATAAATTTGCTTAAGAAGGGGCAGAATGTGAACAGGAAGAAACTGCAGTAACATACTTTGAGAAGAAAAGAGCCATCCAGTTGATCTGAAGTGAAGAGAGTCTGGACTATGACTTATTTGACCAGCATGGGCAAGTCATTGTTCCACACCTCAGGACAGGACATTACAAAATTAACAAGCACATGCACAGCCTTTGTCTAAATAGTTCACATTGTACCCCTGTGGGATGAATATGCATACTACAGAACATGTCCTCCAAGAATATCTTATATACATCCCATTAAGAAGGGGATACCTGCCACTGAGTCAACTCTGTACTCAAAGCTGTATGAAACTAAAAGTTAACTTAAAACAGTCAAATTTCTCACAAGAACTTGTCTGTCAGTGTAAATCAGAAGGCGAATACAAGAAGAAGAAGATTGGGGTTAGGCTATGTAGGTTGCGATGATAGTCAACCCAGCTAACAGAAACCACAGCTTCGCAGTGTTTTGATTCATGGTGGTCAACTATCTGGGTTGACAGAACTCGTAAGCAGGGGACTGAACTGTCTAGTTAATTAGAATAAACTAAATTTGTTAACCATTAGTTTTAGGTGGGATGGAATCAACACGGATGGTTTTTATGGTCATGGTCAAACCTTTAAAACCATTGTTGCATTAGGCATATATTAGTCCCATATGTTTAAGGACAAATTGACTTGATGGGTGATGTGATGATCCCTTTCAAAAATGGATACCAGGAATTACCTCTGGGTTGTAAAGTGGCCATGACAAAAACACCCATGGAGTGCCAGTAAATTTATAAAAAGTAAAATAATTTGGAAGGCACCATCGATGCATCTCAAGCCTTGGAAAAATTGCATTTCTTATTTCCTTTCTTCTCTCAGTATTTTAAGTTCAGATGTGCTAAAAATAATAATATACTTTAACTGCATACATTCTCTTATTTATTGTATTATCCTGTAAAGTTTCAGTCTGTGTATGTCAAGTTGGTCTGGAGACCCATTTGGTAATATGTTAGTTTGTGGTGGGGGGGGGGGGGGGGGGGGGGGAGTGGGAATGAAATCACCCACTGTCCCTCTAACAAGTATGTCATAATATGCTACTAATCAGAGGTATTTTCTCTGACATTGGAGTGTATCTACTTGAAAAGCGAAGAACCAACAGTCTGCATACAAATGAGCTAGATGTTTAAATTGAATGTGCATGCAAAACCCATGTTCTGGAACAAGATAACGGTCCAAAGGTGGATGAACAGCCAGAACTTTCTGCCAGAGTTCACAGCGGGTGAATGCTAAGAAGAAGAATTGAGATCTGATATTGTTCATCTCCTAGTTTATCCATAGAGTGAGATTGCTATATTTGTTTTTGACCCTACATTGCTGTTTTGATCTCTGCATTCACCTTTTTCTCTTCTTCTAGACAGCTGATTGACAGCCATGTGATTGAGTTGATCCAAGAGTGTGACCTAGAGCGCTTGGAGGCCTTGGTTCTCCAGATGTATGACCATGTTATTCCTCCTTCCAACAAACTTCGCATCATGAGTTTGGTCCGACAGAAATCTTCCAAGCAGTTGACTGAGCTTCTCAAGTACATAGACTGCAAACAGGTATTCTTGCTTTTGGCTTTTCTATCCTTTTCTTATAACCCACAACGTTTTGTTGGTAGTCATGTCTATTCACAACCTTCTGTCACGTGTACTTTCTGTCAGCTCTGGCACAGATGATCGTCCATGCCATGATGTCAGATTGTCCAGCATCTTTTCTCTCGGTCTCCCTCTGCCTCTCCTCCCCTTCATCTTTCCTTCTTTCATGATATACTCCAGTTTTCTCCTCATCACATGACAAAGAATGTAGACTGCCTCCTTCTGATGTGGGCAATCAATTCTTTTCATGAGTCAGTTTCTTTCAAGACATCTTCATTACTTTCTAGCGTATTTTCATCATTTGTCCTAACAACCACATTTTCATTGCTTCTAAGTAATTTTTCTCTAATTGTCTGTTTTTATAATTCTTTCTTGTCTCAGTTGGTGGGGAAAGATTGCATAGAATATTTTTCATTTTGTAACATGCTATCTGTGCTTGAGCAGTTCTGCATTTAACTTTTTGTAATACCTCTCTGTTGTTGTTGGGGTACCCAAGTACTTGAATGATGCACTAATGTATTGCCACACACAGTTTGGAAAGCTCTGCTCTATAGTATGGAATTTTCTCATAACGTCAAACCAGAATAATGGATTTTTATAATAAAAATAATTTAATATCCTCACCTACAGGTTTTTTTTTTTTTAATAGAAAATAGATCTTCCCCTGGCTTCAGGCTTATTGAGCACTTTGTTGCCACTGTGTCAAAGTTGTCTAAATGAAATTTTTGAGATTGCGCTTTAAGGGGTCACTACACGGCATTTTTCCCAATTTATGACAAAAATATCACTTTTTCAATGTGTTCGTTTTTGTAAAGTTTGGCATTCGTAGAATAGATGACACACAATATTTATGTCATTTGTAAACAATTTAGCATTGAAAAGTTAATACTAACGACACCACCTCGTGCACTTTTTTAAGATAAAAAAAAAAGTTAAAAAGTCAGTTTTCTCAAATCTCTATATTTCAGTTTGCTGTGTGTGTGAAATCCTAAAATCTAAGCTAAAATAAAGAGTGGAAATATGAAATTTTGTATGCATGCTCCATAAACAATATTATAGGGACTGGTCTATCTGAAAGTAGATTTTAGAAAGATTTTAATTTCTAAAATATGATTATTGTCTTATGATGCTCGATTTTTTTGACATTTTCTATAAACCTACATTTTAAAATTCTACGAAAAATATTTAAAAACATGTTTAAAGTAAATAATCTAGACCTGTACCTCTAAATAAGATAATAGGTCATGGATCCATCATCTATTGTTGAATACCTATGTTTGTTTTTAAAATTTTAGGATTTTAAGTACATATTGGGTTTTTTTTTCACAGGATGGTGGTTATTGCCATGACAACTATGATTTTTTAATACTTTAAGTATAAAAATGTAATAACATGTATCCCTACAAACGACCATTATAAAATAACTGCTCTAAGTCTGTAAATAAAAAAATAAAAATTTTTGGTGTAGTGACCCCTTAATGCATTTTCAGGGCTAGTATTTGTCATTTTAATATTTATCAGAGGCACACGTTTGAATTCCTTTTGATAAATGATCAGAATGTCCATTGCACCACCTCACCTCCAACTGTTCATAATAAAATCCATTAGTCTGTTTTGATTTTGTGAGAAATTGCCATTGTATTGCTTTCAAAACTGTATTGCAATACATTGGTATGTCAACTGATTTGTGAAGGTGTATGCTAATGTAAAGTATAAGAATAATTGGCATGCGGTGCTGCAATTATTGGTGTGGATCCCACAGATTAGGTCAATGCTTTTTTTATCCTTGCCCATCAAAATGGCTAAGCCTTCCAAGTATTTATCTTCCTGTCTTCCCATTGCTCTCCTTCAGTCGTTTTAGGTATCACCAAGTTTGTGACATCATTCCTTATCGTAACATGTCCACAGAATATAACCTGCACTCTGCTGTCTGTGCTGTTCTCACAGATGGTTTGATACACTGCACACTGATGTCTGTGCTGTTCTCACAAAAGGTCGGCTACACTGCACACTGCTGTCTGTGCTGTTCTCACAGAAGATTGGCTACTCTGCACACTCTGCTGTTCTCACAGATTGGCTACACTACACACTCTGCTGTCTGTGCTGTTCTCACAGATTGGCTACACTGCACACTCTGCTGTCTGTGCTGTTCTCACAGAAGGTCGGCTACACTGCACACTCTGCTGTCTGTGCTGTTCTCACAGAAGGTCGGCTACACTGCACACTCTGCTGTCTGTGCTGTTCTCACAGAAGGTCCGCTACACTGCACACTCTGCTGATTGTGCTGTTCTCACAGAAGATTGGCTACACTGCACACTCTGTTGTTTGTGCTGTTCTCACAGAAGGTCGGCTACACTGCACACTCTGCTGTCTGTGCTGTTCTCACAGAAGGTCGGCTACACTGCACACTCTGTTGTTTGTGCTGTTCTCACAGAAGGTTGGCTACACTGCACACTCTGTTGTTTGTGCTGTTCTCACAGAAGGTTGGCTACACTGCACACTCTGCTGTTTGTGCTGTTCTCACAGAAGATTGGCTACACTGCACACTCTGTTGTTTGTGCTGTTCTCACAGAAGGTTGGCTACACTGCACACTCTGCTGTCTGTGCTGTTCTCACAGAAGGTTGGCTACACTGCACACTCTGCTGTCTGTGCTGTTCTCACAGAAGGTCGGCTACACTGCACACTCTGCTGTCTGTGCTGTTTTCACAGAAAGTCAGCTGCACTGCATACTCTGCTGTCTGTGCTGTTCTCACAGAAGGTCCGCTACACTGCACACTCTGCTGTCTGTGCTATTCTCACAGAAGGTCGGCTACAATACACACTCTGCTGTCTGTGGGAATATTATATGATAAGACTACAAGTTCTCTTCCACAGTGCAACTCTTGTACTACCATTCTTAAACTATGAGAATGGTTTTTTAATTTGCCATCCATGACCAAAATTCAACCCCATTTCTTAAATGAAGATTATGAAATTGTTAAACTCATTTACTAATCTCTAAGGCACAGAGTTGTGCTGGTATCTTTTCTATCTTGCTATAGGCTACTTTTAGTCATGATTCTTGATCTGCAAGACTTTCAAATATTATTATTTGAAGAAAATTGTACTGTTTCGCTTAGTTGAGTATTTTCCATTATATGATTGTTTCTACAATGTCTTTATTGCCCTTTAATTTTCCATTTGAAATGACCCCTTTCCTTTTCTGACTCTGAGTATTTAACTTAGATTTTTAGATTTTAAATTTCATAATTAGAATGCAGGGTTATAATCTCCAGTGTCATGTTCTTCAACTGTAATTTTTCTTTGTCCTCTGCACATTCTGAAGTGTTTTTTTAATCTCATTTTTTGCAGGCTTTTATCAGAAAGCTGTTCTTACTTGTGAAAAATGGAGATAAGGCAGAGCTGGTGAAGCAGATGAGCAGGAAGTATGTCAATGCCAGAGACAAGGCTGGGCGGACTTTACTTCACTACGCCATTCAGTACAGCTACGACCACATTTGTGAAAGCCTCCATAGCAGTGCTGGCCCTACACTTTACACTTCAGATCGAAACAGCATAAACAGTAATGGGCAGATCATCCTCCAGGACATCAGCCTGACCCCCGAAGATGACAGAGACATGACACGACTAGTCAGTGGCAACCGCAGAATGAGGTGCATCATCACTGATTTGAAAAAAGACTGTAAAAAAAGACACTGCTTCAGGAGGTTTTTCACAGATAGTAATTGTACACCTGATTATTTCGGGATCATCAGGTATCTTGTGCAGGAGTATCCGTCAATGCTGGGAGTCACTAATAATGTAAGTTAGCAAGATAAAACTGTACATAAGACAGAATGCCAAGGAAATTTTTTCTTGCTATTCTGTATCTTGTGCAGGAGTATCTGTCAGTGGGGGAGTTAACTAATAATGTAAGTTAACAAGATAAAACTGTTCATAAGACAAAAAGCCAAGGACCTTTTTCTTGCTATTCTGTATCTTGTGCAGGAGTATCTGTCTGTGGGGGAGTCACTAATAATCTAAGTTAGCAAGATAAAACTGTACCTGTGACAAAAAGCCAAGGACATTTTTCTTGCTATTCTGTATCTTGTGATCTGTCAATGGGGGGAGTTACTAATAATGTAAGTTAGCAAGATAAAACTGTACATAAGACAAAAAGAACATTTTTCTTGCTATTCTGTATCTTGTGCAGGAGTATCCGTCATGGGGAAGTCACTAATAATGTAAGTTAGCAAGATAAAACTACATATGACAAAAATCCAAGGACATTTTTCTTGTTATTCTGTATCTTGTGCAGGAGTATCTGTCATGGGGGAGTCACTAATACTTGTTAGCACGATAAAACTGTACATGTGACAAAAAGCCAAAGACATTTTTCTTGCTATTCTATATCTCGTGCAGGAGTATCTGTCATGGGGGAGTCACTAATAATGTAAGTCAGCAAGATAAAACTGTACATAAGACAAAAAGCCGGGGACATTTTTTTTTTAAACAGTTTGTATATCTACAGTTAACAATCTAGTTAATACGACAACACAGGCATTTATAGATTAAGAACACACTGACCAAAATGTGTCTTCACACTGTCTGTTTCTCTTTTTTAATCACATTTTATGCTGGGGAAAATGGGGGGATGTTGCCATATACTCAGTTGGGGGCGTGACCTGAAAAAAATAGGATGGAGGTCACTGCTGTAAACTAAGATTCTCCTCCTGCTGTTGCTTCTCTTTCAATTGGTTTATTGACTGCCATAGGTGGTCATACCCAGCGCAGCATCACTTGTCCAGTTTTGTTTATTCAGTCAGATGCTAAGGTTTTCCATGCCATACAGCAGGCAGGTTGATTTTTATCTTTGTCTTCTGACTGCCATCACCTGTAGTTAATCCTTTTCCACATTGAAACCATTTTTACAATGTGACTAATTTCCATGTCTTGACATATATTGACCATTTAAAGTTAGCCTCTATTTTGTAAACATTGAATTTGTGTATCACGTCACTTTATTGACACACAAATATACACACACAAGAAAGCAGCAGCTTCTTCTGTGTTTACTCTTAGAGGGGCAGTTTTTGACACATTGTTCGTGTTTACAACAAGACTGTGATGTCCCCACATTTTTGGTCTAGCATAACCCATTTCAACAAACTCCTCATTAGTTGGTTTTTACCTAACTGGTGTAGCGTAGCAGTGAGTCTCTGTTCCTCCCCTCATCCCCCCTCCACCACCTCCAAGTAAGAGACCCTAGAACCCTCACAGGGAAACTAAGGCATATCGAAAAAGAGTTGAGACAATTAGGCGTGACCTTTGTTATTGTTAAATCACTGCTGTGTATGATTTAATAAAAAAATTTACTCAGGAGACAAGAAATGGTGGTGCAGAATCAACTGATCACCTCACCTGGAAAGCCAAAATTAAGAATTTTTGTAGATTTTTAGCATATCTGCTGTGTGGTGAATTACAGATAGGTAGAGGATGCTGTGGTCAGCCATTACTACAAAACAAATATCTGAGCCCCCAGGTGATAAAGGATAAGGTATTGCATTGCATTCGTGGGAACAGGATTTGATGGTCTATGTTGGCTAAAATGCAAAAATCATGAAAGTGATAGGGATAAGGAAGAAAGTTATTGTTTTATTCAGCTGAGAATATGATGAATTAAGAATTGACATCACAGCACTCAGGACACTCCCATAAGTGCTCTGTCCCCATCTTCAGCAGCAAGTGAAGAGTTCAAATTCCTATGGCACCAGTAACCGTCTGATTGTATGTCAGTCTCATCCTTTCCCTGAGTGTTAAGCATCTGCCAGATCCCCTGGGGACTCCTCGCAGCGCCATTCTCCTCAGACCATAATGATCTATCTGCACTTCTGCACTGTTCACTCGCTCCCAAAGGGCCCTCACAATATCTAGCTTGTCAAACATCAATTCACCACCAAGAGAATATGACTGACTGACTTTCTACCCCACCAGGACATCACACAAGCGATAAACACCAGATGACACAAAGTGCCACCATGTGGGTGAGGATCACTGTGGAGAGGTCCCAGAAACCTTGCAAGAGCCAGGGTGGGGCTTCAAATGACGAAAAATTGCATCCTTAAAAGGACAGAAGATCAAAGTTTACCAAGAGAATATGAGAAGCAACACATTAAATACATGTGATGGCAACAGTGGTCAGGAAATCCCATGCTCTGATTGTGAAGGATATTTTTTTATTAATGTGAATGGGCATTGCTAGTCAGACTCCCATCATCTGGGAAGAGAGAAATATACCACCAGCAACAAATGATATCCCACTTATCAAATTGACTATTGTGTTTACATATTTCATGATTGTGTGACCTGGGAGTAAGGTATGGTTAAGCATGTCTATTCTGCCTTTGAGGTCGAGATAGGAGACATTATAACTCACTCATCATGGAAACGGTCAGGAGTGGTACTTTGGAGTGGCTGCTGCATCAGAGGACTGAGCATGCATGGGAATGCCCATTGTGCAGTTGTGATAACATATGAATATGACTACCCTAATATGGATTCTTAAAATTATTTTTAATTTATACTGTTTACTGGTTGTGGTAAGTGAGAATTTATGCAAATTGATTTCTTTTTGTTTCTACTTACTTTTTTAAATTTTCCAACAGATTGGTCAGACTCCTCTTCACTATGCACACATATTTTCTGCTAGTAAAGCAGTTATAGACCTATTGGAGAGAAATGGAGCCTGTGCTAATGTTAAGGATGTGGTGAGTCATTTAGAAATCTTAACATTTTTTATTGTCATCCTCAATCTGGCATTCATAAGGTCAGTTTTTGTTCTTATAGTTTATCAAGAGATTTGTATAAATACAATATGTTTTTCCTTAGTCACTTAGACATAATTGAAGCAAAAATAGAGGTCGACCAACCAAGCAATGGATAGATGAAATATCCAAGGATGTAAATACCAGCATCTACCTAGCACATACCAAAGCTCACACCCAATGCCTCTTTAAAACCTGGCACTGAAAGGCAGAACAGGAACAGAGAAGATGATGATGATGATTTATATTACTTAGTGGTTGGATGCTCCACATACTTGGTGCTTGCCTGCTGTCCCAGAGGTCTTGGATTCAAACAGTGACCAGCTTAATGTTGATCACATCACTGACCAGGTGCCATTTGTACAGTACAAATTATAGGCCATGTGCTGCTAGCATGAATATGGTCTTTTACTTACTACATACTTTGTCAACCTGTTTTAGATCGCAGAAAGAATACACAGGTATGAATTCTACTTGTATGCTACATTGACTTTGGAAAGACCCCTAGGCTGGAAATTCTGGATCACGCTTTTGTAGATATTATATTAAATATGCATTGAAAAATCAATCTGTAGCATTAGTCTACAATACTATTGATAAAGCCACACATTGCACATTAAGTATATTTACAAAGAGGGAAACAGGCCAACATTGGTTGAAAAAGAAGTATGCCATGGTAATGTGATATCACTTTTTAATGCATATCCAGAATTAATGATGGCAATAGCTATTTAAGTGAGCATTAGAAGAACAAAATAATTTCAAATGTCAAGGCCATAATAACAAACAGAACAGTCCCTCCTTGCAATTTATCGAAAAAAATAATCTTAAAATAAATGCCAATTAAGCAGAAATATGGTGATATCTAAAATCTCTAAAGTACTACGAATCAGATAAAAAGCATATCATTGACCTATCTCATATGTTTCTAGATATATCTAGATCTATCTGCAATTTCACCTGTACTATTCAATGTTTTTATGAGCACGATTGCCTGCCTGGAAACACCTGGAGTTTGCAGAATATTGACATTTGCAGATGATGTTCTTGTATATAGGAAGGGGAGAGATTGGAATCAAAAAGCTGAAGAGTTACAGGCAACAGTAGATAAGGTGATTGACTGGTGTACAGAGATGAGTGCTGTAATCAACCCAGAAAAGGCAACTGTCCTGTGGTGTTCTTTGGACAACAGGATTGTTAGAACTGATGTTCCCAGACTCAAAATAAATGACAGGGACATCAAAAGAGACAGCAGATTGTGGTACCTGGGAATCACCTTTGAATGAAGTTTGTTGTTTCAGGGATCACATAGAGAGGGTTGTGACAAGGGCTCAAAAAGGTCTAAACGCACTCAAGATTATGGCAGCGATGGACATGGAGCAGAGAAAGCTGTTCACACTTTATCAGCACTTAATCATCTCAGTGATTGATTATGGATTAGGGTTACTGTCTTGAAGAGTCAGCTAGAGAAACTAGAGCGCATACAGAATGATGCTATGCTGCTGATCCTGGGTTGTACAAGAGACATCCCGATTGTGTGCATGCGATACATCCTTGCATTGCCGACTATTGCAGATAGGCTAAAGGTGCAGCCAGCTAAGTCAACCTTTAGAGTCGCTGCAGACAGGGAACACCCTCTGTATGAAGCTTTGGCTGCAGGCAAGGGTCAGAAGCTGAAAAGGAAAAAATTGTGGATGGCTCAAGCAAAAGACATGATAAGACAAGTATGCATGCTGGAGAACATTTGGGCCAGGAGAGGAGTGGGTGAGAGTTCTAGCGGGAAAGTCTGACCTGTGTAGGGTTATGATAACATTGCGCCGGGTGTGCAGAGAGTGGCCAGCAGGTGATACAGAGGTTGAAGTCCAACAGTTGATTCATGACAATTCACGCCCAGGTGATCTGATTATTTATACAGATGGTTCAGTGTTGAGAGGAAAGAGAAGTGCCGGGGGGTTCATAGCGAAAGCTAATAGAAAATCTTTAGTGCAAGACAGCTTAGCATATGACACCACATCTAGCATGAGAATGAAGGTGGAGGCGGTAACTCCAGCTCTCCGGTGGCTAGAGAACAAGATACATACACATGTCGTAATTGTAACAGACTCTGAAAGCATGCTGAAAGAAGTGAAGACAGGGATGCTTCGAGCAGAGTGGCTAGCTTCACAGGAAAGGTCACGGGTGGTGAGCATACTTTAGATCTTTTCTCCAGGCCATGCTGGCGTGGTGGATAATGAACAGGCAGACAGATTGGCTGGATTCGCACCACTGAATGGTGAATTGATACATGACAGGGCAGATGTGGTCAAAGCCCTTTGGAAACAAGTAACAGAATCAGTAGAGAAAGAGATTATTAAGGCCTGGAGAGAATGATGCACCTGGGCGTAACCAGAGGGTCTGGCCAGCTCACTACACTTAAGAGTAAAGGCAAGACTGACTTTATACAGATTGTGACTGGTACTATCAGTATTGGAACTCTGCGCTGGCTGCTAAAGATGACAGAGCATGCATGGGAATGCCCCGACTGCTGTGATGTCAATGCTTGACACAACTCAGATATATCTAGATCAAATCGTGATTGAAAATGCCAGATAGGAGACTGATTTTAGAATATTCTGTGTCTAAATTGGGTATTTACAAATAGTGCCACTGTCAAAGAAAATACTAGAAGATACTTTCTGGAGTGCCATTGTGAGAGTGGTGCCTGGTACGTAATGGTTATGATGATAAGTTATTCTAATTTACTCTGCTTGATTCGGATGTTAATGTCTCTCTCTCCCAGTTTGATTTTGTGCCAGAGGACTATGACTACAATCTGTGTGGGGATCAGACATTTCAAGTGAGGCGGCGACCTACAGTTGATCTGGATCTAGACATATTTCTCACAGAGTCTAACTTTGAACTACATTTTCAAGAGGCCATAAGGGTAATCCTTGTGCTTGTCTTTAATCTAGTGTGTGAATGTTTTTCCTCCCTTAGACAGTTTAAAGCATTAATTAAGCAAAATGATTTCACATTTTCTTTGTTTTCTGAAATTATCTATGTCCAGTAAATTTATTTCTCTTTCTGGTTGTTCATCCACCTGTGGACTTTAGTCATGTTCAAGAACCAGAATGTTGTGCACACTGGTGTTTTACTGATCTGGCTAATTTGTATGCAGAGACTGTTGGTTCCTTGCCTCTCAGGCAGATGCACTTTGAAGGATGCCCCTAATTAGCTGATTCTTACGACATGTTTGTTGGGAAGGCAGCGGGTCTATTCTTGATTTCCCCCACAATGGGGACCCGGAGACCACATGGAGAATTTATAATTAAGTAGGTTGGTAATTTAATAAATAAAATGTCTCGTTTCTTGGGTTCATAATAATCATATTATTGCATGAAAGTAACATGATTTATTGATGAAATACAACTGCTGTGTGAAAGATGGAAGTTTGGAAGGGCCGAATGTAAGACAGGCCTGCGTGCCTACTTTGTGTCCCTTTGAAAATAAAGTTTGTTCGTTCGTTCAGTACCTAAAACCTGATTGTGACGAAAGTGAAAAATAAAATCCAAATTAAAATAGTTACAAACGTGCGTGTAAAAAAATAAAATCTAAATTAAAATAGTCATAAATGGGCGCATGTACCCACTCACACACACACACAGAGATAGAGCCTGAAGATTGTATTAAAATATAAATATAAATACTAATTCTGTAATGTAGTAAATGCAGTAAATAGGTAAGTCTCATGTAAACTCAGTGCTGTTGTATATAACAGAAACACAGACATTTGCAACTAGTTAGAACATCTAATAGAGGCAGATTAGAGTTTGAAATATTTCATAGTAACTCATTTACACTAATGTAAAAATCCTATGAAGCTTGGAACAAAAAAAAAAACCAAGTAAAGGAATAACAAAGAAAGAAATCACATGATTCTAAAGTGAAAAAAAACTGCCTTTTTCTGTTTTAGTCCATGCCATGTGGCGTTGGTAGTCATCTCTGTCCACAACTGTGTCTCATTTACTTTTAGTCATTTCTGACAAATGATCTTCCCTGCCATGATATCAGACTGTTCAGCGTTATCTCTCTTGGTCTCCTTCTGTCTCTTTTCCACTCCAACTTTCCCACCATCACGATGTACTCCACCTGTCATGATCAAAGAATGTAGTTGTCTCCTGGTATGGAAACTTAGTTCTCTTTGTGTGTCAGTTTCTTTCAAAATGTCTTCATTACTCTTTTTATCTGTTCGAGTTTTCTCACCATTTGTCTATAAACCTCTGAAAAACCTGACTTGAGGAAACTTTGAAAACAGTCAAGCAAGATGTAAAATGGTTAGACAGCTTTGGACATCATCCTATCTGACTTCATCATACTGCTGTGGTACTATCTGCTTTTTTGTTAACATGCATAGTAACATCTTTTGACATCTTTCTGTCATGTTTATAAATTTATATGTTTAAAAAAAAAGTAATGGTCCCTTTTCCACATTTTATGCGTATAGGGCATATAGGGCTAGACCTATAATTTACAGACTAATTTGCACAAGATGGGCAGTATGGTCAGCATCATGGCCACCTTTACTTCCCAGGACTGACCGCGGTACCCACTCAAGGCTGGGGCGACCTGGGAGTCAAGGTCGTTTTTCAAAAAAGTCTTGCTCTGCCAGGGAGCTCACGACCTTCAGATCCACATGTGAGCATCTAGTCGCTACGCCATGGCAAATCATTAATTTATTATCTGAGTTTTAACATAATGGTCTCTGCAATATTGACCAGGTATTCTGCTATAGAGGGGAGGAACTTCATCTCAGCCTGTAATTGGTCTCAGAAATAATACAGAAATTGAGGTGGACTCATGGGAACAAAATTCCATGGACCGTGTTGTGTGGAGAGGGCACATCAGGAACTAAATGAGAATGAAGGTTGAAATGATTGCAGACAGGATGGTAGCTAAGCGTCCGAGAAGAAAAAGATTATCTACACATGTTGACAATAGCGGGCCTGAAATCCATTTGTAATTGTGGAAGACTACTTAACACAGGCAGCTCTTGCTAGTCACACTCAACATTGACTGTGAGCTCCATGCCTCCTCATAGCGCAATATAACACTATTGTCTGGAAAGACTAAGAGTTCCAATCATGAGTGAGTGTCTGGTATCTTTGGGATGGGGGGGGGGGGGGGTATGGGGAATTGTCTGCTTATATTTCCTATAAGCGGACAGTACAGTGGATCACTGGAGGAGGAGTTCTAGGCAAGAAAAACAGCATAAGCCAATACTTATACTGCAGAGTTGTCTGTTTAGGCCACAAAGATGTTTGTCATAGGGTAATTGCACTGCATCATGACCTTGTTGTCAATGGTGTTCTGTCTATTTGTAACTTGTTTTCAGCATCACTAATGTCTCAGTATTTAAAATCATGATTCAGTAAATCAGAGTAAAAACTTTTTTAGCAGAGATGGTTTAATGATACTGTAAAGGATGTAACCAAAGATGGTTTAAAAAACATAATTTAAATAATGCAGATACAAACAATACATTCCACAGTTAATGGCCTGTGCGATTTATGAATTCTTTTCCTAATTGTATCATTGTCCATTTGTTTCATATGTTGATGAAGGATTTCTAGTTGCAGAATTCATATTGTCATTCGTGATTGTGGTATTGTGAAGCTAAGTTCTGCTTCTCATTTTTTTTTTTTTTTTTTAGTTTATTGTTTGGTATATTTTGCTGTATCTTATCAGGTGATTTACTACCGAAATTACATCAACATTAAATGAACCCTAATTGATATCTGCAGTATGAAGTGTGTGATCCAGATGATCCAATGTGTGCAATGATGGAATGCAGTCATGTGGTGACATCCTTTAGACAGCGGGCTGTTGATGTTGGTGCTGTTGACCTTGTGAGATTTGTGGACAACCTGTCTGTCAGTATCAATCAGTCATCTGTCAGGTAAGTGAATGTCATTGTTGGTCATCTGTCTGGTCAGGATCTACCAATGTCAGTCATTTTTCATAAAGGTTGGGTATCTTTTAGTGTCAAGAAAGTCATCTGTCAAGTTGGGTATCTTTCAGTGTCAATCATCTGTCAGGTGAGGTTTCTTTCAGTGTAAGGTAAATGTTGGTCAGTCTTCTTTCAGGTGGGTGGGTGTCATTTAGTCATATATTGGGTAGGCTAGCACGGTACATGTTTTCTACTGTTACAACAGGTAAATTCAGTACACTTGTGATGTTCTGTCACAGTGGTTCCCAATTTTCATTGAGGATCTGTGAACTCCTTATTTCCAAGGTCAGCCACAGACATCATATTTTTTAATAGTCAAACTGAAGAACTTATTATAATTTATAAATATTAGTCCCCCAAAAAATGGATTGCATTCTAAAGTCGCTGTTTTTTTTTTTTAATTATATCACTGGTTATCACAAAATGGGAAGAGCTGTTTTGTCAGATGAGAGAGTCCATTGATTAGAATTCCTTGGACAGCTAAGAAGAGCAACCCAGATGTTTTGAAAAAGGCGAGTGCGCAAAGACAACTTATCACAAACATCAGAAAAAGACACCTATCATTTTTTTGGTCATGTTATGAAAAAAGGCAAACAGGAATATGTGGTGACCTCTGGAAAGATCTGTGGAAAGAGAGGCAGAGGAAGAACAGCGTGAGAAGATTCTTTCATCATTGCATGGAGGGATGTCAACACACAAACTGACATACGCAGTCACGGATTTTGGAGAGGCATGATCACCCATGCCAGTCGGCAAGGCTCTTGATGGTGATGATAGAGATGTCCTGTAAATTATGTATTGGTGAGTAGTAAAAAAAAAAAAACTCATTACTGCTTACATTCACCAGCTTTTATGGCAGTGTAGGTAAGGCAGGCCTAAACCTGAGAGTGTATCCCTATTGCCCAAACAGATAAATCTCGTCATTTTATTTGTGACAGAAATTGGTTCTCTGTGACTATGAAAAGTATTGAAGGGGTCCTGATGTGAATATATTAACTTAATAAAGCATTTAGAGAACCAGAGAACCAGCTAATCAGTTTAACCATTATTGTTTAAATGCTCTTGTTTATTCATTCACCTGTAGGTAAAAAGCTGCACCAAGCTTACAGTAGATCACTAATGGAGGACATATAGACATACACAAAAACAGCACAAGCCATTACTCACGCTGCAGAGTTGTCTGCTCGTGGCACCAAGAAGTTTGTCATAGGGTAATCACCCTGCCTCTTGACCTTATCATGGGCGTTCTGTCGAATGGTCATTTCATATTTTACATTTAGCATCACCGATGTCTCAATATTTACAATCCTGATTCATTCATGTCAGAGCCGGAGATCTTGTATCAAATTAATGCCAGGCTCTTTGAGGTGAAGATATGTATCTAGCAATAATGACTTCAACATTGAGTCTTGCCATTGGTTATTTATTATCACATTTCTCCCGAGACAAGAAAAACAGCACAAGTCATTACTCATACTTTAGAATTATCACATTGGTTAGGGCACAATGATGGATTTATCATAGGGTCATTACACAGCATCAGTACAGCTATCTTTGACATCTGGAAAACACTGATAACTTTCTCATTTTACATTTATTGTGGCAGATGTCTTCTTTATTTAAAGTCTTGATTCAATTATGTCAGAGCCAGAAAAGTTGTATAAAATGAAAGCAGGCTCTTCCAAGTCCTGTTAAGGCAAAATGTAGTGCAACTTTTGATAACCAAGTCCTGTTAAGATAAAATGTAGTGCAACTTTTTATAACTGTTCTTGTTTTAAATTCAATGTAACTGATGTCTTCATCATTTAAAATCATGATTTACTGAAATCCGATCTTGTATAAGTTGAATGACAGGCTCTTCCAAGTCAAGTCTAGACATAAAGTAATGCAACTATTGATAACCGCTGTCATTGCTAATTCAACGTAAATGTTGTCTTTATCATTTAAAATCCTGATTCAGTGATATATCTGAGTCAAAGCCAGAAATCTTATATAAACTAAATGGGAAGCTCTTCCACATCATATAAAGACATAACTAGCATTTGTCACTTTTCCATCATGCCTTGTCATCTTTTATTTTTATCAGTTTTTACATATCATTTGTTTTTCAGAAATAATTTGCCGCCTAGATGTTCATCTATAGAAGGTTTCATATACAGTGGTCTAGCTGCATTCTTACTTGATGGTCACACTAGTTACTTTTATATCTGTGTGTGTAATCCGGGCATAGTCTTGTTCCATCTTTCTCTCAAATGATAGTATTTAGGACCCTGTCCCTTTTTGCATTGTTGGTAACCTTTTGGAATCTGTTGCTGTGGCCTGCTCATTGTCCATGTTTGGCACTGATAATAACATAAAACGGGGAAAAAATGTGTTATTAATCATTAGCTGTTTTGCTGGTAAGAGGGTATTTAGGTGCCTGGGCAGTGGGGCTAGGTAATAGGTAACAGCATTTGCTTCCTGAACTCTTTGTCTTTTCCCCTACTGCCATTACTATGGGTATTTACTAATTTTGCAGTGTAAGCAATAGGCTCTTCGAGTCTGAGGATTTAGGGCTGCATCACTAGTAATAGCTACACCACCCTAACATGTAGTCAGTAAAAACATTTGTTTAGACTTGGTTTATCTCACACTGTTCAAGTCGAGAGGATCAGCGTCATTGCCCCGGGTTTTTTCCCGTATGGCTGAGACTCTCTGCAGAAGGGCTAGCTACCCGCTGGGAGCATCACATAAAGGACCAACTCCCTAGCTTTGGTAATGATTTCTCCAGGGATGTGCGTAAAAATTGCGCTCATAATTGCACTCATTAACCGAATTACCTAACCATGAAACAAAAACAAACTCACAACCTTCAGTGCATGAGGCAGTTAGCTTGACCACTTTGCCATGAAGACACCATTCCCCCCCCCCCCCCCCCCCCAACAGTGTTCTGTCATTTATTGTTCATGTGCTACATTCAGAATAACCTCTTAATATAATTGTAGTAGGATGTTATCATTAATTTCAAATCACTTTCATAATGTGCTTTATTATTTTTTTCCTGTGCAGCCTATACTAAGTTTCTCAGTGTTTTAAGTTCATGAACGCCTGCAGTAAATCTTGGGAGGTCGATTTAAAATTGTTATCAACAATTTTTAGTAATTAATTGCGTCAAATAGGATCAAAGTATTTGTAATAGCTAACAAGCAAATATTAATTGTAGCTCTGCTACATACTGCTAGGGTCAAATTTAGGACGTATGACACTCCTGTGCAGGCATTTAAATGAATAAAGCAAATTAAAAATATAAACAGAGTGTTAGTGCTAGATATATTTTGATGTTGTCAGTGGACACACATGCCTAACTGCAGCCCTCATACTGCAAATACTTTACACATATAATTTGGTGATGATAAACAAAAAATTAGTGAAGACAGCATGTCTAGCTGTCATTGTGGATTGCAAAGTAAAAGTGATTATAATAATTAGTCTTACATTTCCATCCCCTTGGTTGTATTTCCCTTACCATGACTGTTGTGAAATACTCTATTGCCCATGTAAAAAAGCCACTTATTTATACATTAGATGTTTTTTTTTTTTTTTGTGTCTTAAAGGCTAGTTTTATAAATCTGCTAATTTGTATACAGATTGTTGGTTCCTCACCGCTCAGGCTAGTGCTCTGCTTTGGAGGAAAAGTCCCTAATTAGTTGCTTTTAGGACGTGCTTGATAAGAAGGCTGTGGTCCCCACACAGGGATACCAATGGTTATAATAATTGGTTTTACATTAAGCAATTAAGTCTTTGCTTCTGTCCACTTTGCTATTTTCGGAACTACCCTATTACTCAAGTTAATTAAAAGTCACTGTTTGTACATTAGGTTGGGGTTTTTTCATCTTGAAAGTGAATATAAAGATATCTGCCATTCTTCTGAATTGCTTCCTTCCCTTTAGCAATATGTCACCTATGACCCTGTGGGAATGTCTTGTGACCAGTGGTAAGAGCCACTAGTTTGTACATTACATCGTTTGTTTTTGTTTTTTTATCTTGAAAGTTAATATAAAGATATTGGCCATTCTTGTGATTTATTCTGTGATGATTTATGTTGTTGACATGTGATTTGTACATATAAATTCTGCTTGATTTTCTATAGGTTATCTTCACATCAATCATGTTGAACCCTAGAAAACATTTCTCATTATAAACATTCTATATGCTGACTGTTCACTGGGTTAGTGAGGAAGTAGATTAGCTGATGATCCATCAAGAATTTTAAACCCACATACCCTGACAAAAAATATCCAACTAGCCAAGGGTCCTTTATACCCAATACTGTGTTTCTGGCACTTGTAAAGATAACTAGTAACTCACACGTAGACACTTGCATTTTGAATCTGTTGTGCGTTTTTTGTGTGGAAAAAAAGGGCTCCATGCAAAGGACATTCTTTAGGAAATGCTTCCTGTTTATGCCGATAGATTTTTATCCCGTAAAGCGGTGCATAGCTGGGTAAAGAAAATTCTGAAGGACGCTCTTCATGATGCAATTCTAAGAAAAATCCAGGCCTGCTTACTAGAGTACTGCTCCTTCATGACAATGCCAGGTGACATACGGCTCAGTTAACGCAGGAGAAAATTCACAATCTAGGGTGGGAACTTCTGGAACATAGGCCTTGTTTTTCCTGAAAGTTATATGGTGGACTGTTTACAATTTCTGTGATTTTATTTTAAATCAGTTGTTGCTAAAATAAATATAGTACCATTATTGTATCAGAATGTTCTCTCCATATTGAAATGTAGTAGTTATAGTAGTACTGAGAGTTTCAACTTCACTGCATATGGGTCACCCCATAATTGTTCCATGCCTAAGCCAGTGAAAATCATATGAAATGCCCCTCAGTTTTCCATTTCAGAACTAGTGAACAAACAGTTGAGTCAACACCATGCAGTGAAACAAGTCTGCTTGAACTGAAGGTAGATAATGTAGCCTCTCATCTGTTCGATCCCTGTGATTAAACACTGGAAATGCCAGACCTAAATTCGGGCCTCTCCATCATGTCTGGGATATAAATCAGACTTGTTTTGCCATGTATTCAAAAGGGGATGTGACTTTTAACCTCAGCCCTCAGAATTTCTCCCTAGAGACGGCAGACTTGGTTAAAGAAAAACTTTAATAATCGGATATTTAGTTTTAGTATCGAGTTGAGTTAGGAAGCTGTATAATGCAGTTGCTAGCATACTTACCTGCTGGCCATAATACCATTTTTAGGGCGATGTAGGACCAAATGGGGTGGTATTCTTAAGCCATAGCATTAAGGGCCTCAAGGTTAGTGCAGTCGCCATGTAATGTTAAGTTGTTGATTTTTGCTTCTTTTGAGACAGACGTTTCAAATTCATCTAGGCTCTTGGCTTGTTTCATCTTAACATAGGTTCTAGGAAATGTTGTGGAAATTAAAAGTGACCTGCTTGAGGTTGGCTACATAATCCAGCATGTGCTGATTGGTCTGGAAAAATAGGGAGCTGGCACCTTGTGCCTGAAGGCTCAGAAATTGGTTTTTAAAGATAAGCTGTAGCAAACTTTTTAGATGCCAGAAATATATCTCGACTGAGTTTCCAGAAATGCTGTAAACAAGCAGAGATACAGTTATATCTTTTTCTTGTTATATTTTGCTATCACAGCCAGTGAGAAGTCACCTTGATAGCCACTAATTAGCCACATTTCAAGCCACATTTTCAAAACTGACCTTAGCTTCTAGGTCGATTCAGCCTTGAGTGGGTACCAGGTAGCATCCTGGGAAGTAAAGGTGGCTGGCAGGATGCTGACCACATCACCCACCTAGTGTTGTTGGGTTATAAAATCAAGGTCTAGTCCTAGTTGCCCATTACACCTAAAGGTGTGGAAAAGGATACTTTGCTTTATAACAGCGGCGTCCATGGCTTAGATGTTGCGAGTCTGACTCATAATCCAACGTACCGCGATCAAAACCCACTGCTGGCTGCGTCCATTGTTATCATGGTATGGGGCGTCGGCCTAGCCTAAAATTGGTACCAGGATGTATGTCCTGGGGAAGTAAAGATGGCCGGCATAATGCTGACCACATTACCCACTGAGTGGTGATGGTCTGTAAAAATATGGGCGCTCTTCCGATAACGCCTAAAGGGGTGAAAAGGAATCTTTACTTTTTTTTACTTACTTTATAACAGCTGGTTACAATACAGGTATATCTTGTGAAATCTTGCAGTGGAATTTTTATTTTTTTATTGCCAGGAGTTGATAGTAGTTGATTGAAACAATGTACCCTTGCAGCCTGTTTAAGATTAAACATGTTTGAAGACACCCTTTTGTTTGAATTATTGTCTGTCATTTACCATTGTATGAATTATTAATGTCTGTTTTTTTACCATTGTCTAAATTATTGTCTGTCACTCACCGTTTACTGAATTATTGATGTATGTTACTCACCATTATCTGAATTGTTGATCTCTGTCATTCACCATTTACTGAATTATTGATGTATGTCACTCACCATTGTCTGAATTGTTGATCTCTGTCACTCAACATTTACTGAATTATTGATGTATGTCACTCACCATTATCTGAATTGTTGATCTCTGTCACTCACCATTTACTGAATTGTTGTCTGTCTGTGACCATTTATTTAATTATTGATGTAGGTCACTCACCATTATCTGAATGTTTGACGTTGATCACTCACCATTATCTGAATGTTTGACATTGATCACTCACCATTATCTGAATGATTGACATTGATCACTTACCATTATCTGAATGTTTGACATTGATCACTCACCATTATCTGAATGTTTGACATTGATCACTCACCATTATCTGAATGTTTGACATTGATCCCTCACCATTATCTGAATGATTGATGTAGGTCACTCACTATTGTCTAAATTGTTGATGCCCATCACTCACCATTGTCCAAATTGTTGATGCCCATCACTCACCTTTGTCTGAATTTTTGTCATCCTATATATTAAAGAAGCGTTCATCTTTTGTTTGTTTTTTTCACACTTGGACCTGCGAAACTGGAAATTTTTTCGCAAGCCCTCTAATAGCTAACTAAAAACAAATGTTCCACACTTGCTTTTCCATCTTGAGCATTGTTTTTGACTGATGAAGTGCTGCAATAACATCCATTCAATTTCTGTTTTTTTTTTAAAATACTGACATGACTGAAAAAGTCTGTTTACCGTAATAGGAAATTGAAAAACTGACCAACAATTTCCTAGCTCTATAATAATTTCCCCCCTCATGTATGTAAAAAGGTGGGGGGGAGAGGGTGTTACCAAAATTATGACAATAATTGCATTTTTCTATAAATCAATAAAAAAGTGCCAAAATTATGTAGCATTCACTAAAACATAAAAACTATCTAGAATCCCAGAATCCCACCAAATTCTCCCGTCAAGATTTGCTTCATCGTCTCTCTAGAGATACAGTGTATTATATTCAGACTAAGGACAGGGCACAACAGACTTCATCAACATATGTGCAGACTTTTTGGTGTAGGAGACAGGGAGACGTGCCCCCTGCAACTTGGCACCAAAAAATGCTGAGCATGTGCTCCAACACTGTCAACTGTATGCTGAGAACAGATACA